CTGGCTGAGGTGTATTCCATGATAGAGTAGATCATGACAAGCCTGGAGATTGAAACTCTCTTCTACCTTCGTATATGGTGCCACAACAAGGTGGACCAGCGCCACACAGCCCACCAACCAGTCCATCTAAAAGGGGAACAAAAAAGAAAGGAAGGCATTATTTTATCTCATATCATGAACTTAATCAGTATTCATATTTGTTAAAGAACAAAAAAAGCTGAATTAAATAAAAGGAAACAATATAATAGTAAAGGAACTATCTATTCATTTTAGCCATATACTTCTTGTTTCTGTATTGTACATGCTATGCAGCTCTTTCTACATGGTCCTTTACAGTAATTACACCAAACAATTGCATGCAGCACATTTCTTGACCCTAAACTGCTTAAAACACAGTAATACTTTCCTCATACTCAGCATTCTTCTTCATATGGAAATAAATTATCAAGACCAATATAAGTTCCAACATGATGAGGCTTTATAAATGGGATTTATTGTTTCTCTTAAATATTTCTCTCAATATTACTTCTCCTTAACAGAGTTTTTTTTAACTCAGCTTATACAGCATTAAGTAATATATAGATATTTGAAATTAGTGAAATCATATCATTATTCATGTCCATCTACTTAGATTACACTTTTAATGGTAATGGTAAGTACTAATCATAACCAAAATATTTCACTGTTATAAAGCCGTATATATTTTTTTTTAAGTCATCACAACATCCATTTGACACATCTAGATATAGTAGATCTTTTAACCAGTAACTTCTCATAAAAACTGGCAGTGGAGTAGCAGCTCCTTGTGACAGAGGGGGCCCTTTTCTCTGCTTGGTTAGTCATGCAGTGACTGGTTCCAGCGCAGGAAGAGAAAATCTTTAATCAATTGCTTCATTACTCTTCCACGAAAATGTTTGAATATTTCCACAGAGTAATATCTATGTATTCTCAATCTTAACAATATCATTGATTATCCAACTGCTGTTCTGTTTCCAGGAACATTTGGCCAAGGTGTAAAGCATAACCCTGAACTGGATTGCAGGATATCAAATGTCACCAGTTTCTTCCTCCTTGAAAGTCACCAACACAAGTTTCAGTAAGAGTATAGCTCACACTGCCAGTAGCATATACTGATTAAAAACATTAATATTAGATATATAAGGGGAAAAAAGGTATATGGGTTTAAACACTTTTAATGGAGCATTAACACAACAAAACTAGAATAAAAATACAAAAATAAATACATAAATTACAAATTTTAACATGGTCCAATGCACTGATCTATCATCAAAAATAAAAATATAACTACTACTACTACTACTACTACTACTAATAATAATAATAATAATGATAATGATAATAATAATAAAAATCTTCACACCAAACTTTATATAACTTCTTTCTTAACTCTGAATATAACTCATCATCTGTAACAGTTAATTCTAACTGATACAAGATAAATCTAATATGATTCTTGTATAAACTACATTAATGCAGAAATAATCTTAACAAAATGTCACAGCAAAAGATACAAAGTTCGTTTAGCATATCTGTAAGGCATACCAATACTTATAAATAAATATCTATATACCATATATTATATATATACTATACAATACTTATTAATATATAATATCTATACTATATGAATAGTACACATATATGCACACACACACACACACAACACACACACACATACACACACACCACACATACACATACATATACACATACACACACACATACACACACACCACACACACACACACACACACACACACACACACACACACACACACACACACACACACACACACACACACACCACAACACACACACACATTTATATATATACACACATATATATAGCATAATGAGAGATGAGAAGCATAAGATAAGTAGAGCAAGGAAGAGAAGAAAGAGAGAGGGAAGAGAGAA